ACAAAAGATTGAATCCTTCGTAGGCTATTTTTTGGTAGTGATTTCCTATGATGATGTGTGTTTTAAGGGGTTTCTCAATGGGTGTTAGAATACATAGTCTTGCATATTTACCTCTAGTGGTTGAGGTGGTGCACGCGTCGATCCTAAGAAGTTTTCCTAATTTGTTTCCTATTTTGTGAAGAATCTCATAGTCGTAGAACTCTGCTGGGAGCTCTGGTAATCTGGCCCAGACTGCTGAGAAGGTTAGTGATGTTGTTGAGGCGATGAACCTGGGCTCCCATTTCCTTACAGTGAGGAATTGGTTTCCGATGAACCAAGGTCCCCCGTGTAGTGCTTTGTCATAGTTTTCCGATCTAGTAAATTTTATGAGGTAATAATCATAACCCAGGTCGATCAGTGGTAAGTGCTCGGTTGGTCTCCATATAGCATGTATTTTTTGTTGTAGGAATTGGTAAGTTACTCGTCTACCAAATATTTTGATTATTAGAGCATTTTCCCAATTTTTGTATATTCGTTCCTTATCTTCCGAAGTTATGGGTATGAAATTGTCCGAGTCAAAGTTGTTTTCAGTTTCGTTCGAAGTATCAAAGCCAAGGATAGATTTTTGCACTGTTATTTGGTTTTTGGTTTGAATAGTGTCTAGGTTTTCTTGCAGCTTGGATAAGAAGGTATTTTTATGGTCTTGTTTGCCATTACCATGTTCAGACTTGTTTTGGTGATCCTCCATTGTTTGGGAGCTCAAGAGCTGTTGTGAGCTTGGTGTAATTGTCTTGTTTTCTTCAAGATGTTCCATAACTGTGTCTTTACCATTAGGAGTTTGTGTCGTTTTAGCATTGTGTTGTTGTTCTGGGATTAGATCTTCCAGCATGTGTTTGTTTGGTGTTGTAGTTGATGGAATGGTGTTGTGGTTGGTTAAGAGAAGAGGCTAGGGTTCTTCTAAGTTTTCTAGAGAGAAGTCAGACATTCTCTCTCTGAGCCCTTAGCTTATGTTAGTCGTGACAAATTCATTACTCCGGTCTCTGCAAACTGGTTCTTTGGACTCAAGCAACCATAATAGGTAAAAAAAAGACTAGGCACCATAATATATATAGTTCGATATTTTACCGCGCTATACCTTAACGGCACGTTTGTCCGTTAAGGTATAGCTCGGTGAAATATCGCGCTTATTTGAACCTAAAATGGGCGGGAAGGTATAGCGCCCATATATACCGCGCTATACTATAGCGCGACATATATGGGCGCTATACATATATAAATAAACGTGCCCTTCTCCTTCCACACCACACGAACCAGCAGCCTTCCCCTATTAAAAAAGACGAAAAACCAGCGGTCCCCCCCCCCCCCCCACCACCCCATTTTTAACGAAAAAGAACTCGGTTAGAGCCCACCGATCCCTCAAAAAATGTAGATTCTCTGTCCCACATCGTATCTAAGGCGTTATCTCCTAGTGGGTTGCTCATTTCGGCTCCAAATCACCAAATCTTCAACTTCTCAAAAAATTCAAAATCGAGGTATTCCGACTTATTTTTTGTTAAAACTCATGCATAAAAAATGCCTATTAGTTATCTTTTTACTGTGTTCTATGTTATTTCGTGATTGTTTTGCGATCTAATTAATTTGTTATTTTTTATCCGGATTATATTATTAGTGTGCTAAAAAAATTAGTAAAATAGAGAAATTGTTATTAGTTATTATAAAAAATGTTAATTAGTTATTTTTTACTGTGGTATATGTATTTTCGTGATTATTTTGTGATTAAATTAATTTGTTATTTTTATCTGGGTTAGATTATTTATGTGCTAAAAGATTAGTAAACTAGTTAAATTGTTATTTTAGGAATAATTAATCTTATTTAGATGTTATTTTTGTACATATATTAATATGTAACTTTAATGTTGTTTAGTTCCCTGTAGTGTTATGTTGTGCCCGTAATTTTAATGTAGTGCCCGTATTTGTAATGTAGTGCCCTTTTAACGTAGTAAACTGTAGTGCCCTTTAGTAACTTGTAGTGCGCTTTGTAGTTATTGAAAATAATCATTTAATTATCCGTTAAACCCAAAAATATCTGAAAAAATATGATAGTTCAAACACAAACTCTCTCAAATTCTAGTCAACAAACGTAAGAAAATAACATTAAAAACAACAATATTCGGTACAATTAGGTATTGTTATATGAATATTTGATAATTAAATCATGTATAGTTATTAAAATTAATTATTTAATTTTATTATAGTCAAAAATAGGTG